TGGTTTTAGCTGAAACTTTTATTCTGAAACTTTTGATATGTAGCATCTTCATAACCATTCAGTTTAGTATATTCTCTATTTTCTATTGCAGTTTCTTTTACAACCCATGGTTATTTAAACATAAATTTTAATTTGAAGGAAGCTGGACCTTTTCTAGCTGTCTTTTTTCTCGATTTCTAACTGAATACCAGTATTGTCAAAGAAGATTCTCTAAATAACTTCAAACTTTTGAAATCCGTTAAGGTTACATTCACGTCCCAGCGTTTAGTCAATTTTGACAAATGTTCCACGTTCAGTTGAAAAGAATAATTTCTTGCATAGTTGGGTACACAATTAAGACAAGTTTTTTATTAGCTCTTTGTTCAGATCTTCTATATACTTACTAATTCTACCTGCTTGTTTGATCAGCTTTCAAGAGGGATGTCTTACAGTCTCCCACTGTGATTGTGGAAATGTCTCTATCTCCTATGAGTTTTGTGCTTTGTTTGCTTTATGTATTTCAAAGCTATGCTATTGAGAACATAGTAGATTTAAGATTGTGACATCTTCATGATAGATTGATCCCTTAACCATTATGAAAGGTTCCTCTTTATTTCTAGTAATGCTTCTTGCCTTAAAGCTGTATATGAAATTAGTATAACTCCACTAGCTTTCTTTTTCCATCCCTTTCTTTCCAACTTTTCTTTGTCCTTATATTAAGGTATGTCTATTTTAATTTGCATGTTTGTTGTTTTCTTAATGAAGTCTGACAATCTTAAGACTTCTACTAGGATTATTTAATCCACTTGTATTTATTTTAATTACATGTATGCCTGGGTTCATATCTGTGATCTTACTGTTTTCTATTGAACATCTTTTTATTGTGAATATTTTCCTTTCCTTCTTCTGGTTTAACCAAATGTTTTTACTAACCTATAGTTCCCTTTTTAACTTGCTGAATATGCACACCCTCACTATTATTTCAGTTGTTCCTTAGAGATTACAATATCCATTCTTGACATTATAATCTAATAAGAATTTTTCAGGTAGCTAATAATCCTAGAACAAAAGAACATTTCAACCTCATGTAAGCCCCCTCCCTACTCTGGCCTTCTTCTAGGATCATTTTCCTTCTGCCTAAGGAACTCCCTGGTGGCATTTCTTTTAGTGAAAGTCTGCTGGTGACAAATTCTCTCAATTTCTATTTGCCAAAACTATTATTTCATCTTAATTTTAAAAGGATGTTTTCACTGAGTATAGACTTCCAGGTTGGGATCTTCAGCAATGTAAGATGGCATTTCATTCTGTATATGGTTGTGGTTTTCTTTGAACATATCCTTACAGGCTGACAAAGCCTCTGGAATACATGGGTTGATGTTCTAAAACTCAGGAGAAAAACCTTTTAGATAGTGTTTCTGACCAATTCATTCTCTCTTCTCCTTTTAGAATTCAAATTGTTTATAGGACAGATCTTTTAACCAGATCCCAAATGTATTTTATGCTCTTATCTGTTTTAGTATTTTTTTTCCCTCTCTGTGCTTCAATTTGAACATTTTCTATTAACTTGCCTTCTAATTCATTAATATTGTCATCTACTGAGTCCAATGTGTTTGTAAACACATCACTGAATTCTTATTGTCAAATATTCTTTTTGGTTGTACAATGTTTATTTGATCCATATACATACACACGCACACACACACACACCCCAATTCTCTAAAGTAATTCTCCACCTTCTTACCTCTTTTGTCCTTTTGCTCTATGTTCCTAGACATAATAGTCATAAAATCTTTGTCTGCTAACTTCAATATATGGATCATCTCTGTTTGCTTTCTACTGTTTGTGTTTTCTCTTGGTTTTTGATCAAATGGTCCTGTCTCTTTATACACTTAGCAATTTTTTACTGAATGCTGGTTCACAGAGCTTCCAGATGTTGGGAAGGCTGACTCCTTGTTCTGCTGGGCAGACAGAGTAGAAGGTAAGTTACATTAATTCAAAAGGAGCTGAGAGGGGTAGAGGCTATGTTGTAGGTTTGGGAAGATTTCAGCTACTTCTGGTTTGCCCTTGATCACAAGACCTGACTCCACAGCTTTCAACTGAGGGTATTACTGGCCTCTGTCACTTTGGCCTCAAGTGATGGCTTGTCTTTTCAGACATTTTCTGCCTACCTCCCACCATACACAGCTTTAGAATTTGGCAGATATTTTAAAAGGGAGACCGACTATATGTTTAAGACTCCTCAAGTTTCCAATTCTGTCATTAGAGCTGCACGAAATGTAGATTCTATACACCTGGATCCTCAGCTGCTCCTTGAGACTAAATTGGCAGGTGACTCCAAGTCAAACGCAGCTGCAGATCATCAGTGTCAATGTGCCACTCACTCCAGGGCTCTCAACTCTCACTTAAGTCACCCCACCCCCAACCCACAACCCCAGACCCCAGGCTAGGTCTCTGTCTCCTGCGCACCTCAGAACTCAAGGTTTTCTAGTCTGCTTTTCGGAGGCTTCCAACTTGAACATCAGGATCCGAACTGAGTGGAGAAACTGGCTATTGTTTTTAGACCGTCTCAGGTCTCTAATTTTGTAATTCCCTTGAGCAAAATTCCAAAAAACTGCTGCTTTCTGTGTCACCAAGCAACTTTTTCAGGCTTACAACTTCCAAACAATGGTTCAAGGCTTAAGCAAAAAGTATGGCTCTGTTTTAAAAACAGAGTTAAATTCAGACTACACTAACCAATCCTTGATTGTCTCAGAATCACTGTATATGCACATTATGCTAATATGTATGTTCAATAAATCATTTTTACCTTTAACAAGTTTTTCTTGGTTAGGTATTCCAAAACATGCATCTTGGTGTTGCGTTTAACATGTAATGAATGAAGCTGGGGGACATAATTTTGTCATAAGACAAAAAACAACCGATAAAACACAGCACTAACTGAAAAACATAATAAACACAAATTTTGATTACTAAAGAATTCACAAAGATGTAGAAGAAAAACTTAACCACAGTTAAACAAAATATACCTCATTTTTAATATGATTGGCTGTAGGGCCCTCGTCTTTAAAGTCATCTCTAAATCCTAGAAAAGACGCTAAGTATCGAAATTTTTTCTCTTTTGACACATGAAAGGAAAATGGGAGATGTACCACAATCAGCAATGAAGAGTCACAAACAGACCCAAAGAAATGACAAGCTGGCTTTCACTGTCATAACTGGAGGGTCATCAACTAGAAAAATACCATGATGAAAGCACCGCAACACAAAACTAAAATAATGGTGCCAACAAGTCAGAGGCTGATGCAGCACTTTCTCACTCAGTAGGGGTCTCTGGTCTCCTCTTTCATCTTCTCCAGTAGTATAAGAGCCGTACGGAAACAGGATCTACGTTCCAGAATCATACCACGATGCAACCAGTAGATTGAATAAGGGGAGGGCTCCACACTAGCAAACTGATACAGTAGATACAGATATAATGTCCCCCTTTCTTTCTTCCTCTCTCTCTCTCCTCACTTTGCCTTCACAGTTACTACCTTGCAGTGTTATTATATTTGTGTTTTACCGCAAGCTGCTACAAATTCTTTTTGGATACATAAAGTATATAAACATGTGACTGAAGCTCTATAAGTACCTGCCTTGACTATCTATCAGTACCCCCACTGACCACGCCCAAACATCATATCCCCCTGCAGAAGCACCACTGACAGCAGAAATACAAACCCCAAGACTAGAGGGCGATATAGGTTGCAAAGAAGAAGGCTGCTCTGGGGCAAAAACTAGCAGTTCCAGCTTAACCACAATTTGGAACATTTGGCTATTTCAAAGAAAACCCAGTATCTGACTTGATTTGAAAATGCCTGCAAAAAGCATTATTTTCATGCAGTTATGAATAATTCCACCTGAAATACTGCTCTCCATTATGGAAACTACAAATATGAGAATTTAGAATATTGTTGAAACCATTTGTAACCATGTCAAGTGTTTAGCTGGTGTCAAGTAAGTCTGCAGAACATTCACTGTAACAAACCTTAAATCTTCCATTAAATTATAAAACAATCTTCACCTAAAAACACTCTTTGCTACACTTTTACAGCAGTAGTAGCTGCAGATTATTTTCATGAAACTAATTTAAGAAACTGCCTGTAAAAGCTATGAGAATGCCAAAGCTCTCAAAAACAGTAAAATACTCTGGGTCCTAGGACTCATTTGCTACAGCAATAAATCAAGAAAAAAATATATGCAATGTTTCCTAAACTTTAGTAGATAAAACCATCACAAAACAGAGCTTAACCTTCCTTATATACCAATATAGGAGCAGACACACTTTAATTTACCTACACATTAATATGAAAGATACCAATTATAGCCAAGTAAATGAGAACTAAACTATATTCTTGAGAGGGGACTATGTGAATCCTATTAATAACAAGAACAAGATCAACCTAATCAGGCTGAAGTTCAAGAGTTAACTTAGACAGGAAACTATAAATCAGAGTAACCAGAATTCCATGATATAACATTCAAACTGTGATTCACAGTATTAAGGCTAGAGAGTTATTTTAAAAAAATAATCTATCTCCACCTCTTTGGGAGAGGAGACAAATAAAAATTTCAGCCAAACTGTTTAGCTGACTATATTAAACTTAGCTTATCAAACCGTGATCAATCAGAAGTTACAAACACATGTGAGCTCAACATCCCCAATGATACACTCTTTCCTCACTCTCCGCCATTACCCACACAACTCCACCCAAGCTGGCTGCGTGAAGGACATGGTTTCATAATAATCTAGACAGAGAACTACAGGAAGAAAAACACTAAAATGCTTTGTTTCCTTGAGCATTAAGCTGATTATACAGCATTACACAGCATACATTTCTCTCGTGGTGTAAATTTTAAAGTTTTAAATCAGCTGAAAATGTTCACGAAGCTCAAAATTTCAAAACAATCCTTAGCAGATAGCCAACAAATCTGGCCCAAGACTTTGAGAAAATGACACCCTATCAACACTATATTTATACCTTGCAAACCGTATCCACATCCCAAGGTATTATAGTCCTCAGGTCAATGACTTCACAAGACACTCCGAGCTTTTCCTGAGCCATGGAAGCGACCTCTCGGATCACATGAACCTGAAATAAAGAGAAAAACATGCAGACTGACCACAGCGACTCAGGCCCGAACATTAGTTGACTTTAATGGAGACAGTATTTAGAGGAATGGTTTTACATGGAGAACTAATACATTTGTTTTAGACATGTTGAACATTGTATTTTAAAACAATCAAATACAGATGTCTAGAAGAAAGTTGGAAAGAAATTCTTAGAGAAAGTGAGAGCAGTCATTGCTAGACATACTAATTCCAAAGATATAAGCAAGCAGAAGGTAAATAAAGTCACAGGAGTAGGTGGTGTTTCTAGGAAAAGCATGGAGAGAGAGAAATAAAGGGAAGAAATCATGGAACCCTGTAGATGACCAACAGTTAAAGAGAAAAAAGAGAAAAAAGAGTTCACTAAAAAAAGAAAAGAAAGAAAAGAAAAAAAAATAGTTAAAGAAACAGGAAAAAAAAATCAGGAGATAACATATCCCAGAAGCTAAAGAAAGGGTTTCATAGAGAAAGTAGCCAGTGTCATACGCCATAGCAATACAGAATAAGGGTTGGATTTAACAATTGGAAGATTAGCAGCATTAGCAGAAGTAGTTTTAGCAAATTAGCGGGAACAGAACTCATAAAGTACAAGACCATAAGGAAGTCAAGGAATTAAATACAGATAATAGAAAACAGGTGTTGAAGTTTAGTGATAAAAGAAAGGAGGGAGATAATACTGGTATTTAAGGAAAAAAGCAGGATAAAAGGCATTTTTTTAGATAGAGAAAAGACACAGACCCTTTTTTTTTTTTTTAAAGATTTTATTTTTTCCTTTTTCTCCCCAAAGCCCCCCAGGTACATAGTTGTATATTCTTCGTTGTGGGTCCTTCTAGCTGTGGTATGTGGGACGCTGCCTCAGCGTGGTTTGATGAGCAGTGTCATGTCCGCGCACAGGATTCGAACCAACGAAACACTGGGCCGCCTGCAGCGGAGCGCGCGAACTTAACCACTTGGCCACGGGGCCAGCCCAGGGACACAGACCCTTTTAATAAAAGGGGAATGGAAAGAAAAAAAACTGAAGGTGCAGGTGAAAAAAGGAGCAGCTGATGAATGCCAGTCCTAGAGAAGGTAAAACGGAACATCATCTGAAACAGATGTGGAGAGGTAACTAAGAAAACCAGACGCCTCTTCGTTGAAGACAAAGGGAGAGAGGAAAAGATTGGCAGCAGAAGTGATAGGTGCGAAATGGAAGCAAGTAAATGGGAGTTAGTATCTAACACACTCTAACTTCCCTACTACAGAGAGGACATGCCGAGAGCGACAGGGATGTGGATAACAAAATTATCCCCCTGGAGGGGAGAGACCAGGACTGTAGCTCTCCAAGCCAAAAATCAACTGGAGAAGAGAAGAGAGGAGGAGGTTGTGGTATTGTGAGTGATTTTCATTATCTTCTTTATACAACGCTGCATTAAATTTTATAAAATAAGGAAGTATTTTCCTTTACATAAAAAAAAGAAAAACTGACCTTTTTTTTAAAAGAAGGAGAGACAGAAATGTAAGAGAAGTCTACAGCCAGAGGAAAAAAAAAGAGTCCTGAGCTTACAAGTTTGGAGGCAGAGCAATGTGACAAACATGCAGGGGAAGCTGAGGTCGGTCAGTGGTGAGGTTCGCTGGAAAAGAGAAAGGGATGGCATGCTGAGGCTGGACCATGGGATGCCATGTGGCCAGCAAAGTAAGCACGAGAGATGGCTGCAAATGGGATGAAAAGGAAAATAGCAAACCAAGCACAGAAACAAGTCATGAGGATATGTAATGTGTGCTTCAACAGAAAGTGTTTTAATGAATACATTTTTGTAAAAACAAATTTTTAACAGCTTCACCATATGCATATATATTTTAATATGACTGAATAGGCACCTCACCTTCAACCAGAAATCAGAAGCAGATAGACATGCAGCACCAAACAAGACTCAAATCTGAGATATGAAAACAGCACTTTCAATTCTTGATGGTGTCAAGACTAAAAGTTAGAGCTTCCTAGCACAACATGGCCGTGACCGGTTGCTATAATCATTACTGACCTGAGTGCCCCAGGCAACCAGAGTAACATCGCTCCCTTCCTGGATGACTTCGGCCTGGGAGAGGGGAATGTTATACGGTTCCACAGGAACCTGCTCCACTGAACACAGAACAGGAGAAAAATGAAACGGGAATTATTTTTTCTCATGTGACATGTGTGCATATAAGAGTATAAGAACTTCATTGTGGCAAAGCTTTATTTTATTTATTCTTCCCCCAAACTCTGTAAGTTATTTACAACAGAAATAGCATTTATTATATGGCTTCATAACATTATTACACATATGCAAAAGCACAACATAAACGTGTAAAACATATCAGCTATCCTGGAACAGAAAAAAGACTTTAGGTAAAAACTGAAGGAATCTTAATAAAGTGTGGGCTTTAGTCAATAAGAATGTATGAATATTGGTTCATTAATTGTAACAAATGTACCATACTAATGTAAGATATTAATAATATGGGAAACTAAGTGCAGGGTTTATGGGATCTCTACTGTACTATCTTTACTCTTTTTCTGGAAATCTGAAACTGCTCGAAAAAATAAAGTTAAAAAAATGAATAATGTCTGCTAAAACTTTATTGGACTGAACTAAGTTCTCAGACAAGTTTTCTATCAAGGAGCAAATTTATAAGGGTTTGAAAAACAGAAAAACACATAGTGGGGCCAAATTTTTAAGTATATTTTGTTTTTGCACCTTGCATTTATGAATGCTTCATCAACCATGGCAGCAACAACACCTTAGTTTTCAAAAGTGAATCCTGGAGACCTCAAAGAGATAAACTGAATCAGCTCCACAAGGCCAAAAGGAAGAATAAGCCACTGGTATCCCAGAGAAAACCGTTTCATGATTTCTCTGCTCACCCACGTACAAGCAATAAAGAGTCGACTGAATTCAAGAGGAAATCCAAAGGTGAATTTTCAAACGAAAACGACCCAGAAGTGATGGACTTGCCCCACGATGCTGGGAGGCCTTCCTGAATTCTTTTGTGAGAGGCGTGTAACAGCGGCAGGTGGTGGGGGGAGGGCAGTGGTCCATGTTGTTCTCTTTTGTTCATTTTCCCCACGGTCTTTTTACAATCACTGTTATATGATTTTTTTTTTTAATTCAAAGAGCACAAAAGAGTAAAATAAAAGGTTCCTTCTGCCCCCCAGTCAGCCCTTCCAACTACACTGCACTGAAGAAACCAATACCACCAAGTTCCTGGGTGTCTGCAGTGGACAGCTCTCCTATCTATTGTCCAAGCACCTTAATCCTCTTCCTACATTAAGGAAATGCCTCACCTTAACAAGCAGGGCCCTTAGGTCACCACAAAAGTGAGGTCCGCATATTCACTTTCCCAGCTTCCCTTGCAGCTAGGGGATAAAACGTGGGCTCTGACAATCAAACGCACCCATGCCAGACTCTGCACTGGAAGCTGATGACACAAAAGAGCAGCAAGTGTCCAGAATCCATTCGAGAATATGCGCAACAGTGGAGGCAGACCCCACATCCAGGCTCAGGGGTGTCAATGATTCAGACTGAAGTTTTGTGTCCAATGAGAGCTGCTGGGGCACCTTTGCAGAACCAATTATGCAGTGGAATTTTTGGTATTGCCTCCAGATATATATGGTTCTTAGGCACTCCGGCAGTCTCTGAGCTTTTTGTCATCCTTCAATAAATCTTTTCTGCTTATATTGGACACAGTTGATTTCACCTGCTTGAAAATTAAGAACACTGACTGATTCAGTGTCTTTTCAGATATCTGCAATATGCAAGTATACATATACATAGACATACGTAAATCTTTTTCTTTCACAAATAGAATCACACTGTACACATTCTTTAGAACCCTTCTACAATCCCCCTTTTCCCACCTAGCAATATATCTTGGCCATGATTTCACGTCTAAAATATAGTTTTTGGGGCCAGCCCTGGTGGCCTAGTGGTTAAGTTCAGCACGCTCCACTTTGGCAGCCTGGGTTCGGTTCCCAGGCATGGACCTACACTGCTCTGTTAGCGGCCATGCTGTGCTGGTGGCCCAGATACTAAAAAATAACAAAAAAGAAAAACAGAGGAAGATTGACACAGATGTTAGCTCAGGGCAAATCTCCTTCAGAAAAAAAAAAATATATATATAGTTTTTGAAGTCATATTTATAAGAAAGAACTATCAAATTTAATGATGCTGTTATCAATGATGTGGTGAAAAATTTTATTCCTTGTATTTTTTGCATATTTCCAATCCAATCCCATTTCTATAACCAGTGCCAGAGAGAGATGAGTGTCTTTACATCATCAATATGTTTACATAAAATAAATAAGTGATAAAACTACTTTTGTGGGTAAGCCTCAATGCAGATGACAAGCTAACAAACCTGAGACAAAAGCGTGTTAGAAAACTTATAAGCATTAAAAGTATTTTTTAAAGTTTTTGTGTAGCACAAAAACTATGTTCAGTTGCATACTTCCACTGTCTAAACCAAGGGTGGGCAAGTCAATTTTTGTAAAACGATGTTTTACTGGAACACAACCACATCCACTTATTTATATATTGTCTATGGCTGTTTTTGCCGTTCAACAGCAGAGCTGAGAGGATGCAAGAGACAGCATGGCCTATAAGCCTAGAATATTTTTCATCTGTCCCTTTACAGAAAAAGTCTGCCAACCTCAATTCTAAACAGCGCCTTCAGAGGTTAATTCCAGCTCATTCACTGGTAGCTTAAATCCAGTATTAGATAGATGGACAGACAGATTTATGGATGGATTGATGGACAAAGGAACAGACACACAGGGAGACAGACGCATTCAACTGCAGTAGTATATTCTACTTAGCAGTTCTCAATTGCTAAACCAAAGTAAGAATGCTGCTGATGACATCTGGCAAACATGCCAAAGGTAGCACAAAGGCTCTCTGCCATCAAGTCTTCTCCCCCCCGGCAGCAAGATGAGCATGCCAACAGACAAGTCCTGAAGCCAGTACGCACTCCATCTTGCTGAGTGCAAGCCTTGTGAGTCAGTGGCCGCCGGTCAAGAGTCCCGTCTTTCTTGCCTTGTAAATCAGTTGCCAGCTGGTGATTAGGAAATCCGTGGAACACACAGCTCCAAGGGCTGGCACACCAAAAGCAATGGGTTGGCATCTTGGCCCACCTCCATTGCAAAATTGCTGGTGAGTAACTAACTGCTTTCATTGTATTAAATCAAATACGCAGAATAATAGGACCTCATTACTTTATCAATTAATTAAGAAACAACACGGCAAATGAAGCTTAGTCCTCCATCAAAAGAATCATGCCAAGAATTAGATCCAAGAAAAGTCTTATATCAAAAACAACCCAAAAAGGTCTCTTCTTAGATTTGCATAAATTTAATCCTGAGAGCAGGAGAATAAGAGTACAATTTTAATATGTTCATTTACTTACACTTGGCAAACAGGTCACCTAAGAGAGCAAGCTATAATTCACAGGTACTCTTTAGTTACATTAATACACAAGATATTTATTCCAAGAGAAGGTTGTTATTTCAAATCAGCATTCTTGCTTTCCTCCCCCAGAGCTACGTGCTCTTTGAAAGAGCAGGTAAGAGGAGTTGGAACTCGAAACTTCAGGAGCTGAAGAGCGCCCTATAGTCAAATTGCGGATTCCTGTTTTCATCGCAGTGGGACTAACTGAGACCACTCCATGCTACCACATGCTGATTACATGCTAATCTCAGCACTAATGTCCACACTGCCACAGGCTGACGACATGCTAATCTCAGCACTAATGAGCATGCCACAGAGAAACCTTTCAGCATCAGATATGCTGACAAACATGTGACTTAGAAAAATAAGAAAACTTTCCAAGGCCAAAATAAAAAAGATGTAATTTTTCACTCAAATATCAGATAGATTTTTTTAACGTATATTGTAAGTTCCACATATATGATTCCTTTGTATTGCAAATGTACTTATTCATATTACATATACACTTACAGACTCATAGCATGAATTAGTCCATGTTTGGCCCCATTTGATTTCCCATCATCCTCCTTTTCTCCTTCCAATTTTCTTCTAATTTGCTATCCTGCTTATAAATCATCTTAAACACATTTCTTAAATAAGGCAAAGTGTATAAATATATATAGTATGTATAATATACATTTATTCACTTAACACTTATAGCATACCCAGTATATGCAGACATCATGCAAGATACTAGAATATAAAATTGAAAGAGGCAGTCCCTGTCCTGGAGAAGCACACACTCAACTGAGAGTTATAAAGATGGAAGGACACGAGCAGCAAACAAACAGAAACATGATGTAGCAGTGGGGACAAACGGCCCAAGGAGTACAGAGAGAAGCAACGACCTGGTTGTAAGGATCAAGGAGCCTTCAGCACCAAGAAGGGTACAACTGAGAGGGGCCTTCGAGATGAAGCAGCACTCGACACGAGAGAAAATAAAGAGGGCATTCCATGCAGAAAGAAAAGGTGTGTACAAAGAAATGGAGGTATGAAATTGTGCACGTGTGTGGGTGTGAGTGTGTTCACCTACAAATACACGGAAACACAGGTCCACATGATGTTTCAGGGAAAGGTGAATACTGAAACCTTTGGATTATATTCCCAAACACCTAAAAGGAACTTTCCAACTCCTTCTGATTTAATATATTAATAACCCATGTAGAAAGCATCAGCAAGAAAATAATCACTCTTAATGATGCAAGTTCCCCTGTGAGGCACAGTGTTACCATTACAGAGATAATAGGGTCATTTCTCTGCCCTGGCACTAATCTACAATAATGCCAGTCTCCTCACAAATGTGAAACTCAGTAGGGCTTTATTCATGTCGCATTATACATGATGCAGTGATAAAAACATAAACCTTTTTAAGAAGAAAGTATATTTCTAAAATATGTTACTTCATGCTGCCTGACTCCTAACAGCATATTCAAAGTCTCCATACCTGAGAAAGCCTACCTCACTTGTCAGAATGTACAGCCTAATGGGGGAGGGTGGGCAAATCCACCGAACCACGAACCCACTCCTGGCCCTATCTCTGCATCTAATTAACGGAGTCACCTCTGATAAAGCACTATATTAATTCTGTGCCCCAGTATCTCACCTGTAAACTGTGGAA